CCTGCTGGAGAGCCCCTGCGTCCTGCAGGTGAGCGCCGCTGCCCTTCCGGGCCAGAGACCCGCAGGTCGCCCTTCTTGGGCTTCTTGCCTCTTGTTCGTAGCAGTTTAGGGAGTTACAGCTCCAGAGGAGAGCACAGGTCACCGTACCGAAACGAAATTCCCAGTGAACTTGTCTGAAGTTGGAAGTAAATGATCCTCAAAGTCCCTTTCTAACCCGTGTTACTCAGTCGGCCAGAGAGTGGTGCTAATAACGTGGTCATGGGTCCGGTCCCGTATTGGCCTTCCCTTAAGAGTTGGGCTGGATGGTCCTTGTGGGTGCTTTCCAACTCAGAATATTCGGTGGTTCTCTTCTATGATTCTGTCAAGTGTTTTGATGTCTCTTAGATGAGCTATAGAAATCAAATTTTTAATCTTTCTTTTTTCATCCACTAGGAGAACAAAAGCCCTAAACAATGCTTGAGGGAAGGACACTGTAGGAGTTTGCAAGTGACATTCTTTGCATGCAAAAGATCAATGGTAAGTGCGGTGTGTCTTCTGCTACTGGCCTGGGCGTTTCCCGTCCTTTTCTCTCTCTTTTTAAGAAAACACATTATTTCAGTAAGGTGGATGTCATTAAGCAGGCTCTTGCCTTTGAATCCTGATTAAACTATGGATGTTGTACTCAGTTCTCATGAAGAAGAAGCTGTAGAGTAGGAAAAACTGGAAAAACCATTTTTAAATTAGGTTAGGCTTGGAATGTCACGGGTAGTAATGTAGGTATTTTCACTATTGTTTTTAGTAAAGTTTTGGGTTAAAAATTAGTAGATCAGGAAATTGTAAGATAAAATATTATCAAGCTGTCTTTTGCCTGTAAGATCGTTGTAAAAAATTATATAGAGAACATTTAAATGAAGTGAAGTAAGACTTTCACTGTTAAAGCAGGATCTTGCATTGAATTCTTGATGAGTCATTAGTTTCCTTGGAATACTAGAATTCATGATAAATAAGTTTGGTTTTTAATATAATTAACTGTCCCATATGGAAGTGACAAGTCATTTTTTCAAATGTAATTAGATAAAGTTTTCCATGTTTTGGTAGGAGTACCTTGTCCATAATTTTTTGCTTGTGTTTCCATAACATTTAAAACATATTAAAGATGTGGTAAAGATGGTATTAAAACTTTCCAAACAGGAGAAGTGCAGGCCTTATTTTTATCTGATAAAGAGTGTACAGCTGAAATGGTATTTTAATTTTTTCTTCCATTTTGTATTTGTTGTGGCAGCTTTTTGTGCCTCTTCTGTATGAACTGTATTAATCCATAAAGTGACAAATTATTATTTCTGTGTATGAGAGGATGTTGTATATCGGAAGTTTGAAATGCCTATATAAAACTGCAGTAGCGGCATATGTGTCTCTATTTTTTTTCTGTCTGTGGATTGTTAAGGGAGCCTGATGAAACTTAAGTTTCTAGCTAAATGCCTCCAGTCACGCAGGAAGAGGCTCGGCACTTAAATGATTTTATTTAACTCTCCTGAATTTAATGCTGATGAGTGAAGTTTTTCTTGTCCGGTTAATTCTTTAAATTTCAATAATCATGCTCAGGCAAACTTGTTATTTGTTGTAATAATGAAACTTAAAGAGGGTCCAAAACCAAGTTAGACACTAAATACAGATATAGTTTGCAGTATGCTGAAATCATCAGGGGTTTTGCATCAATGCTGTTTTCTTTTCAAGGAAACAGAAAGTCTTATCAGAGATGTTGAAGTAGGGCCAAGGTTTAAAGTGAAAGCTGTTTGGTTACTGGACAAGCTGTGTCATTGTGACTCTAGCTCTTTACAAATTTTGCTGCTGCCCTGAATTCTGGGAGAAGGTTAGTTAATGGTGGTGAAAGAAGCCTCCTCAGTCTAATATCAGAATATGGCTGAGTTGCTGTCTGTCACTGCCATCTTCGAGACTGGCTAAGTTCAGAATAATTCTCCCAAATCAAACTATGTTTTTCTGCTGCATTGGGAAAGAACTTGCAGTTTAGCTTCTCTAAGTGCTGCACTGTGGCTTTTATTTTAGCTTTACCATCTTCTTTAGCCTGTCATTAAATGCTTTTTCTGTAATTGCCAAGAACAAACTTGCAGATTTTACAAGCTGAATATTGTTTCTATTTTTACTGGTTTATGTCTAGTTTTTTTCCAGAAACTTAGTGTATTTAAGTTATCCCTCTCCTCACAGACATTTGTATGACTCCTACTTCAGCCAGCTCTGAGTTTTCCTCCTCCAGTTTATCAGTTATGTTTGCAAAACCGATCTAAGAAGATTTACTCTACCTTGTTTTTCATGAGTTCCTTGCCATCCTACTATGCTGTTCTATCATTTATGTTGTTTATTTCAGAACACATAGGGCAATTAGCCCATAATTTTAGTTTTGTGTGAAGTTTAAGATCACGTAATGCCTCTTTCGTTGAAATGTCCTGTGGATTGTTGGCTACATCACTGGTTTTCTTCTGCTTTGTTCTGGCCTTTGCTCTGATGTTAAAAAGTGCCAAGGTAGCACAAACACTCTATAATGATATATTGTCTTCAATTTTCAGTTGGATACCAGAGCAAGATTCAGAGGAAGGAAGGGATACTGAAGTCCTCGTCAAGAGATCTTGCCATGGAAATTTGGGGTTCATCAGCACTCTACACAAAACAGAGACTAAAATAAGAAGACGGTACCTGCTGCATCCTTTCATGCAGTGTTTTCATGGAAGGTATCTACTCCTGAGTATTCCAACAGATTGACCTGGATGTGCATTTAAATGTTAAAAAGAAGGCAAGCATAAAGCTACAAGTTCTGGCCAAAATGAGTACCTGTCATGTACTTGCAATAAAAATGTGAAATCCAGAACAAGCTGCAGAAGTTGTAATTCTGTTTTGAAGTAAAGTTGTCATTTGTGACTCTACTGTAAATTCTGATAATCTTTTACTATTAGAAATAATGCAAGGTGTGGAACAACACTTGATGTGTTGAGGAAGAGTTTCCTTAGTAGATGAGTATCTCAGAGGGTTTCTCAGAATAGAACTATTTTCAGAGACGAGGAATTGACCAAGGTTGTAAAATGTGTGTGCAAGGTGCTTCCTCTCCAGTAAATTTGCTACCCAATAAACATATAATAGATGGGAGTGGTGCTATTTTTCAGTCCCACTCTGCTAAGGAAGTGGGATTTATGGGAGCAAGAAGCATTAAATAGTGCTTAAACCATGACTGTGGTAAATGCTAACTGGTTCTGTATAAGACCTGCTTTTCCAGAGGAACATTTCCTTTTTCTTCCTTCAGTGTCCCCACCTCTTTAAGTGTCAAACCTTTAAGAAATAAATGGTGTTGTAACTCTTACATGTGGAAACTCAAGTCAGACTAGCTGATTAGAAGTGAGATGAGGAAATAGTGAGAGGGGAGAGAGCCATAGTAAATTCTTTTCTTGGCTGAATTTATAGCCAAGTGTCTGATACACGTTCAGTCTGAACAGATGTATGCAATGGTTTTTGTTTCTAAAACTGATGACTTCAGTGAATGAGCACATGTTGACTATTTAATTTTGTCTGTCTTAAGCAACTGTTCTGTAATGAGTCAGAGAATGTTTGTATTCCTTGTGTAGGACTTTATTTTTGCCACCTAAATTAACTCTGATTTCACATTTCTGTGTTCTGTTGATCATGTGGAAGCTAGTTCATTTGTTCAAGTGCTGTAAGCATCCTTTGTTTTCCACAGCCTACTTATCATATTAGCTTTATATGTGCACTAAAATGATAATTTATGTCTATAAGAGTATTTTTATCTTAACACACTAATTCCAAAGTATTACTCACAAGCCTTTTCCATGGGGAAAAACATAAAAAAGGTACTAAAAATAAATATAAAGCCAGATGGCAGGTATTGAAATGTCAGTTAGAGAGAGGAGTGGGAATGGTATGTGAGTTTGGTAGTCAGGGACTCTTTCATGGTGTGCCCTAATGCATGGGTTTGTAGGTTGATTGTTCAAGTGATCTTTGTTCCTTTCTCAGCCATAATCACTAAGCCTCTCCTGTTGGTGCTGCAGCAACTCCTTCTGAAAGGGAACAGACACATTGCTACATCATAGACAGACACATAGTTATTTCTAGTAATCATCTTGATCCAGTGGAGATCAAGTGTTAAAATTAAATCTGTAGGATATTTATGGATTTAATAATTAACAGAACACATGTATTATTTGATCCAATAGAATGTTAGAGTCAAAACTTCCTGATGGTTCACTAAACTACCTAGGACAGTATGAAAATACTGCAACAGGAATCAAAATACTGATTTGCTCAAGAGACTTATTCAATTCCAATATTGTGTAACATAATACTCTATTTAAAGATAAGTAATTATATAATTGTCTTGGGACTTTGAGCACTGTCCTACTTGAGAGATATTAATGCTCCTTTGAGAAAAATAATTCATTTCATTAATGCCCTAAGTCCTATGCATTTGATTACAGCTTTTCCCCTAATGCACAAAATGTTTTTGTTTAAATATATTGCTGTTTTTGTTTCATGCCTTCTGCTACATTACTGACTTTTACTAAAACAAATGCAACAATATTTCTGTTCTTCGGTGGATTCTGCAAGAGGAAATCTGTGAAATTGAGTTGTTGAGGACCAATGGTTGGCATGGTGCCAAAAGGCTAATACTAGTTTCAGAATCCCAAATATAAGCAGTGCTAATAATTTGTGTTGAATAAGTAAAGAACGGGGTTTGCAAGGACCTCACTGCTGCTCTTGTTCCGCTCATTTGTTTTCCATGATGGAGAGTCAGAGGGTGCTAAATGCTGCTGAGACTGATATCTCAGGCTGTGGCTGTGTCAGTGTTAGGGCCTGTCTGTGTTACAACATTCTTTTTCAGCAATTTAAATGTTCTCTCTGTGGTCCAGTCCTGCAAACGTGGTTCTGTTTACAGAGCTGTAAGCACATATTGCAGAACTGCTCACATGTTTATGATGATAAAAATAGGCTGTGGTCATTTACTCTGAAAATTCTTTAGGCTGTTAGTTGTTCTTTCAAGTCAGTACAGAGTGATAAGCATATGAGTCTGTTTAAGGAAGACCCACCTGTACATAACTTGAAAAGTGAGAGAAGGGTTGGTGTTTAAAAAGTATCACACATCTAGTATGTAAGATGTGCTTCTCAGAAGGAAAGACAAAGTATCTTTATAAAACCCTCACTTTTGAAATATTTTCTACACCTAGATTAGGTGCATTTGTATTATAAAGGGCTTCATTATTCACTGTGGCACAAGGAATTGGTTCTCCAGTCTCTTTTCACTTCTTCAAGTTTCTGGAGAGTAGCAGGTTGGATGAGATGCTTTTTTTCAAAGAAAACATTTAAAATTACATGTTTTCAGTGAAAGCCTGGAACAAACTAGCTTGACACCTTCTACTCATAAGAGCAGCATTAAATGAAGTCATCATCTAAAAATGCAGCCACAGAATGTAGGTGGTAAGCAATATCTGTTGTTCAAGCCTGTGGTTAGAAAATTTACAAATACAGAACTGTAGCATGATGAATTTTACACTGCCTTGATATGTGGTCATTTAGAATATGTGTATTTATTGTAAATATGTTTCTTGTCTAAAGCTGAAGAGCACAACAGCTTAATTCCAGTCATAAGTTGTAGTTGACAGAATAATAACCAGAAACCTTAAGATCCTTTCTCATTTTTCTTTTTCCAAATCTACCTGCTGAATTTTGTGTCTCAGGCATGGTTTTATTGCAGATATCTTCAGAAAATCATTAACTGGTTATTTCTTTAAGTTGCACCCTTCACAATTACTTGGTTGACAGTCTGTAGGAAGAAAATTCTGTAAACATAGAGAGCAGCTTCTTGAAATGGACTATGCTTTATTTTCAGGATTTACTGAAGGTTCATTTATAATGTTCTTGAACACTGAAAGTGGAAGAAGCAAAAATGTTAGCATTTTAACAGTTGCTTAATTAGGTCAGTAGAAGGTGACATATTTCAAGTAATAATGTATTTTAGTAGCTGAACACTGGAAATATATTTTAATGTCAAGCTGAGGTTGGTGTGTCCTGATGGAGGCTTTCAGATGCAATATTCTTTTTTGGCTGACCTGTAGGTATAATGGGCTGCAGTGAAATAGAATGGAATCATTTCCCTAAAGATTTTTTAGTAACAGAGGAAATGATACAAGTAAATCTCTGTGACCTAGAACAGGATTTTAAAAATCTGCAATATTGCTCCTATTGCTTTGAAAGGAGCCATGGAAAAATAGCAAAGCAGAAATTGGCTCGTAATTCATAAGTTCTAATGATAAATTGTGCTACTGTAAAATTGTATTCTGTTGTCTTTCATTACGACTCAAAGGAAGAGGAATATGAACTTTTCGTAGTCAATTTGTGACAGGAGCTTTTGAGGCTTTTTTAGTGGGGAAAGTTTTGAAGTCTTTCTGAGGTCACAAAGGTCTAGTATTTATTAGCTGTAGCAGCTCTACCTCACTAAGGTTCATAGCAGGATGATTTCTGGAATTCTGAGTGGGAAGAAATCTGTTACAGGTTGTTGGATTGTTGGCATGCTGAGGAAGATGAGAGTAAATAGTGCATTGAAGAGATTGATTATTGGATAAGTAAAAATCTGTATTGCTCAATTTATGTCTTAAAACTCCAAAAAGCCTTTTATCAGCTGAGACTGGACATTCGGGTCCCTTCCTACTTTATATTAGTAATTAAAGTAAGAGACACCTTTCTTCTAGTCTGACCTTCTGTGAAGCTTTTTATGCCAGAGAAAGGCATCAGCTCTTGAAAATGGCATAAAATCTGATTATGTTTTCTCTTGATAGAATATTTCAATAGCCAGTAATCCCTCTGTAGAAAGAGCATGTCTGTTTTATGATCAGAATTTGACTTCAGTTTTCACTTCTCTGAAAGAAGTGAAAGAAGAGAAGATGGCTCTCCAAAGAGGTTAGTAGTATCCTATGTTTTCCTGCTGTAATGCATTTGAAAGTTAAAAAATTGGAAAGAAAAAGATGCAATGAAATGCATTGATTGACTTCCTAAACTTGTGACTTGTATTATACCTGTCTTCCTTAGTCCCATCACAGGGGGAAAATTGCAATCTTCTTTTAGGAAGGAGATAAACCTCTATTACTGATTTTTTCATTGATCTCTGTACAGGTAAAATCCTTGCTTTCTTTTTACACTATTGATTGTGCTTCCAAGGTGAGTGCCACATTTTGTCACTTAACACACCGTGTTGAGATCTTCTGTTCATTTCCCTGTCCCTTATGACCCTGATAACTTTTTCAGAGTCAGTAGTTTTTCACTCTGATGTTTTCCCAGTGTATGGGTTGTTTTTCCAGGGTGTAGCTTTTTGTTCTTTTCCTGGATTTATAACCTGACATGTGGCCATTGAAGAATAGAGTTTTGAACAGCATGCTTTATCATCTGTTCCAGAACTTCTCTCTGATGGCCCATTCTTGTGTTCAGCGCTGTCAGGTGTTGGGTTGTCCACAAATACAACTGGCAGTGAGTTTATATGTATGTACACACCTTTGAAGAAAATGAGAAATAATCTTATAGTTGATAATGGTCCCAGAGCAGCTCTCTAAGTACTCTACTGAAATAAACTCCCCTCTATTTGTGAGGTTTTATTACATATAGATTAGGAAAACATAATCTTACAAAAAAATTAGGTAAATAGAAAACCTCTCAAGCATATCCATTCCTACCCTGCTGGGTTTTCTTGTATTTTGCCCTGGGTAATTCAGACTGCTCTGCCCACAAATAACTTGGTGATTTTCCACATCCTCCAACACTGGTGCAGCGTAAGGCCCTTCTGGTCCCTTGGGTTTTAGTGCTCTTTTGATTCCCTGATACTAAATGAATATCAATAGTATCAAATGAACAAAATCAAATACTAAATGAATATCAATAGTAAACATTGTTCTTCCAGAGTCCTTGGTGGGGAGCTGTCCAAGTCTGCTGTTTACAAAGGTAGTACTTAGGTTGATGATGATTAATAATGTCATCAGCTGCAAATAAACTCTGGGGTTTTTTTTCAGTCAAGATCTGTATTTAATTTGAAATGTGCTAGTGACAAGATCTACTAGCTTTCCAGCTTGTTCTCACCAAATATATTTAATGTTTTTATGCAAGGATAGCTTTAAGTTTGCATGGTATGCAGAAGAACTCTTATTTTCTGTCTCTTTGCTAAAAAATGTGTCAGGGTTCATTAGCTTTATGCGAAATGATGGACAAAGGTAAATGTGAAAAATTATGCATGTTTGACTATGCTTTATAAACAGCTCCTCTCTATAAATTCTGTGTGGTTTTGAAGCAGGAAGTCCTTCATGGCATTTCACCAATGACACACAGAAAGAAAAATTAAAAATTCAATCTGTCTCTCCTGGCTTCTCTATCCCAGTTCAGATTATACTGGGGACTTCAGCTGGCAGCTTCCAGCATGAGGGAACTGCAACAGGGAAATTAAAATTCTTACACTAGAGCAGTGTTGGGACTGGCTCAGCTGGTTCTTGGCAGCAGTCCTCTGCACAGACAACTGTGTTTGTGTCTCACTGATTCCCCACTTCAGTCTTTCCCCCTCACCTCTCTCCTGGGAGTTCCCAAAAGGTAACCTGTGTTCTCCTTGGCTTTTGTGCACCATGTAAAAATAACAGAATGTGCCAGAGCTGGACTTTGACCTCTTCCTACATTCTTTCAAATGGCTCTTAATGTTGCCTGAGCACTATAAATCCCTCATTGATAATAGTGGGGTACAGAAATTCGTTAAGAAATGGAACCAGTCTCCAGCTACACAGCAATTTCACCACATGCATGTGAGTGAGGCAGCTATCAAACAACTTCAGGTGTGGAGATGGGTGGGTGGGTGGGTGGATGGATGGATGGATGGATGGAGGATGCATGCTGAAATGTATCAGTGTGAGCAGCAAGACTAGGGAAGTAATTCTTCCCTTGTACTCCACACAGGTGAGGTCACACCTTGAGTGCTGTGTCCAGTTTGGGTCCCTCAATACAAGAAAAGCAATGATGTGCTGGAGCATGTCCAGAGAAGGGCAGTGGGGCTGGTGAAGGGTGTGTGTGGAGCACAAGTCCTGTGAGGAGCAGCTGAGGGAGCTGGGGCTGTTTAGCCTGGAGAAAAGGGGACTCAGGGGTGACCTCAGTGCTCTCTACAGCCACCAGAAAGGAGGCTGTAGCTGGGTGGGGGTCCGCCTCTACCCTGAGGCAACCAGCGACAGGACAAAAGGACGGAGTGATAAGCTGGGCATGGGGAAATTTAGTTTGGACATTAGGAAGAATTTCTTCTGTCTCCGGTGCTTAACTGCAGATGAAGATACAAGAGAATCCTAGTTTCTATATTTTTGGATCCTCCGGAG